TTTTTTTTTTTCGGAGATTCGGACTTTTTGAGATATCCATAATGAAAATGGGCTCAAGGGAGAAAATGGGAGAGCGTCACTGGAAGGCCTTTTTAGGTCCAGCTGCAAAGCGTAGTGTTTGTGTAGGTGTGGGGCTATTTTTAGCCGACTTATTGATTCCGTGTCGTGGTTTTCAAGTGGTATTGATTTTTGCTAGTGGTTGGTCGTGAAGGGGCGCAGTCATCCGAAGAATCAGTGGTCGTTTCTGGTTTTCGTCGAAACCTTATGACTTTCACGTGGCTTGACCCGGGGTGCCTATCATTTGTAAATGTTACTTGATAGTACTGTAGAATTTATGTGATTGAAGGGTTTCGGAAGAACGATACCGTTGAGGTCAAAAAACTAAAAAATTCGTGTGGCCAGTTATACTCATGGAGACTTGTCGTAATTACAGATGTGTACAGCCTAGTTTTGGACAACTGAGTAAACTAGTTCAGAGAGCTATAAGTCCTCTTCCTATCCATGGGGCTCTTCCTGATCCATTTATGATGTAAGGGCTTGCTTTAGAGGCTTACTTGTTAACCTCAGGTACTTAATAGTTCGTATGTTGGTCTGAACTACCATGGGATCTTTCTTGCACAGTTTTTTAGATCCTTTTTGTTTCATTTTTTCTAACAAGCAGTTAACCGGACATCTGGCTAGTTCGATCATCATTTTCCTTTCTGTTTTACATTGCTTTATTCCCACTCAGTTGATCCGTATTGATTGGAGCAAACGTGAGCGTATCAATAAGTAATGTGTCAGTAGAAAAAAATGTACTTATTGATCTAATGGAGCGTTAAATATCGTGGAAAATGTAATTATTGATCGAATAACGTGACGCCATCCTGTTATAACGTGTTCGTTCGAGATTAGTTTTACGATTCAACATGATAAACTAGGGTTTATGGGCGCCAAATTGGGTACCCAGGAACATTCAAAAGTAGCCGCCATCTACAGGAGATACTTATTGATTGATGACGTCGTTGGTCTGGACATGTTAGGGGTGATGCCACGTCACCTTGCCACATTATTTAAGGGCCATTGTGGGCGTCGTGTTGTTGGATCAACCATGGATGCCAACCTGGGTACCGTGACCCCAGGCGACCTCCTTCACTTAGTTCCTAACCCACAGATCGATAGGTATGTTTTTTGGAATCCCTGATATTGCAGCTGATCTTCATGAGCTTGCAGAGTCGTTACCAACAGCAGTTCCAGCCTGCTCTACAACTGGTTATATGAATATGGAGTTATTGATCGGGTGGTGCAACGTATTGCCTTGAAACGGGTTCCCAGTGGCTTATTTCAAATTCTATCAAGGCCATCGTAGAATTTGTTGTTTACAATGGTGAGGGTAGATGTCAAGTGTAAAGGGTAAGTATCGATCTATTGACGTCATTGCTTGGGTGTTGAAGCTGCGACGCCCTTTTGTCTCGTGATGTTTCTGTGCAAACGTCCTCCAGAAACCATTTTGAATGTTACTGTAGTATAAGTGCTCGTTGGTTCCATTTTGGCAACATGCCCAGTTCGGTAGGATCAGAGATAGCGCTATTCAATCTTTCCCTGTCCCATGAATCAATAATTATGTCTTGGAAGTGCAGCTGATCATCTCCAGCTTTGGGGGCCGTTACACCTCACCTCTCCCCGATTACGGATGGCGCTGGGGTGATGGCGAGTGTCGGTGGTCCATCCGAGGTAGTGCCAGCAGCTCGTCGTCAGCAGGGGGCGGGTGTTTTAGGCCGACGACGGTGACGTCACACACGTCGCGGGGCAATCAATAATATCGATCGAAACTCGCATCTCGCCTGTAGTTTTTCGCTGGCGCGCCCAGTTGTCGACGTCCATTCCTGAGTCCTTGGCTTTGTGCTGTTTCAGAGCTCCTTTAAACTTTTCCCAATACTCTAGTAAGTGATTGAAGAGGTAATAGTAGCAATAAGTTGGAAATGCACTGTGAACAGGGGCGCCATTGATCGGTTTGTTATATGCGGGCGGGCCCGTATTGATCAAATTGATGAGTGGGAGTATTCAGGTGTTATTTCTTTTTTGTTTGCAGAGTGTGGTCTTGAGGTCTGTGGTTGGATTGGTTGAACCAGTAGGCAGTAAATATCAACTTGTTAAAAATGTAAGAGCATTATGTCAAGGTAATATTGATTGATATGTAAATCGGGCGGTTTTTTATGGCATGTGCTGCAACACCTGGATTATGACCGCTGTAGTCTAGTGCACTATTGAAAGGTTATTTTGGCAGGATGCCAGTTTTGTCCGCTTTCGCAACTGTTCTCGTTTACTTAATAGGTTTTCCAGTGAAATGTGAGTTTTTTGTTTCGAAATAGGAGACAATAGATAATTATTGATTGGGTCTAGGAGTTGTTTTTTGCTATGTCGCGTTTTTGCGAACTTTTTTTCGCAGTTGTGCGCTTGATTTGTTCAGCTACTTAAAAACTGCTAGAGTAGCTGTTGTGTAATACTTCTTATTGCGCCGACAGCCAAGTACATTTTGTTTATCATATTTGTGTCTTTTGAAGCGAAGGTTTAAAGTAAGGTAGTAGCAAAAATCAAAGCGAATTTTGCAAGTAAATGGGTCTGCAAAATAGATGCGTTTCGTAGGATAGTACGGGTTTTTTGTTGAAGTTCAAGTTAAGATAAGGTCAAAGTCAGTAGGTAGCCGGGGCCAAAGGTTTGTCTATGATCGATGTGGTCGTTAGCAAGAATTGATTATGATTTGCGCGCCACAGTGTTTTACGACGGATCTCAAGTAGGGATTGGTGTTCAAAAGCACGTGAAATCGCTTTTCTGTAGGGCTACGTAGTTAGAGTGTAGTGTGGGTGTTCATTAGAAAGTCTAACCTTTCGATGATATCGTTTTGAAAAGGTGCACTTTTACCAAATGTCCAATCTTACTCAGTAATAGGGCCATATTTCATCCTTCTTTGCGTATGCATGCGAAGCTGGTTTACGTTGCGGCAGTTTTTGTTGTTTCATTGGTTTTTCTTCATTTCAGATGGGTAATTTCGATGGGTTCCTGTGCCAACGGAGGTGGATATTATCATTATT